AAAGCATATGGTGGCATGCAGAGAAAGAGTGCCGTGCCCAGCATCTTTGTCAGGGTGCTCTGGGTTTTTGTTAGGCCACTCTGAGTGCCTCTAGTCGAAAATCTCTAAACTTTTCAGAAAGGCGCTGGTGTCATCCTGCACTGTCGCTCCTTTAGCTGCTGTCTATCCCGAGCTGTATGATGTGTCAGTCAGAAACTATCCCAACAAAAGCAGGAAAGCATGTGTGTGTGGGGCAGATCGGCCAGACACTGAATGTTGCAGATGAGTGCTGTAAGACTTCAGTTGTAGCCATTGTTCACATGTCACTGCTGACTGTTAAACACGTCATTCAGTCTGGAAACCCTAGATGGGTGCACACTGTTTTCAGACTGAACATGCCCCGTATTCCACTTAATCAATAGGCTCTGTGAACAGCTTGTAGCACTTTGCCTCCTGTCAGATGCTAAACAAAATATGTCCACTCCTCTAGTTTACTATAAACTCATTTATGAATCAGTAAGTCAGACGACCAGCTTCAGCTCCGGTCAGCAAACAAGCAAACAGCTCACTGGCATCTACCACAAGACAAGAAGCACACAGTATTGTCATGATAATATCAGCAGAGCATGGATACAGTCACACATGAGCGAGAGCTGGCGAGTGACGATCACCTGCTGAGTGATATTCGTGCTAAATGTGGGCAGTGATGGTTGTATTTGTTAGCTTGTTAGAACTACATCCAATGACAGTCAAGCCACACATACTTCTTTGCTATTAGATGAAGCTGCAAATTCACCAAAGTTTAGTGCGTTTGCTTTGCCACTGGAAGCAGATGTTTCATTTGCCCCTTTGCTCACACTGAATGGAAGTAAATAAGAGACGAATATTCGCCAGTGTTAAGTTTGCTCATGTGTGACCGTGCTTTAATGGTGAGAAGTTTCAGGTTTTAATGGACGCACTGCATTAATATGACTGAATGTACTGGTCAGCTGGTAGCCACACAGCTGATGAAACGAGCCACTGATGAAGCATGAATGAAGCAGGTGGTGCCAGTCAGCTGAGGCAGACGTCAGCACTCTGAACTAACACTGATTTCATATCATTCAAGTCTGAAATAAATCCCCAGTTTACCTGATAATGTACGATACTTATTCTGATCTATAGAAAGGTAGAGAGAAAGACACTACAGCTTCAGTTACTGTGCAATTTTATTCATATTTCACATGTATTTTCGTTCAGTCTCCAAAAATTGAAACTCACCAAACTTTTTATCTTTAAAAAGAAGTATGAATGTGCAGCGTAGCACCATGTAAATGACGATGTTTTGTACAGCACTGATTGTCCATTCTCCAAAATTACCATAGATACGAGTTAGCTTAAAGCTAACCCCGGTGCTTTTATTGCATTTTGATAAATGTACCCAAAAGTTAAAATCATGTGCTGCAGTGAAAAACTGTGAGCAGGTCAAAGTTGAACAAAGACTTGAAAACAAAGAAAGACCTTTTCAACTTCCTTATAAGTTGTTTAATGTGGCACAACCGGAGAAACCCATTCGACCACACGTCACACGATGCCTTATGATGATATCAAAATATTTGAAGATATGCTGAGTTTTCAAATCTCCACGATGAAGCTGGTGAGTTGCAGACAGAGGAGGAGTGATGAAACAAATCATAAAATTAAATCTGCCAGGCTGTAAAAATAAAATTATTTCCAGTTTATTTTATTAACAGACAAAAAATGAAATAAACCCAGCTGATTATATTTAAAAGCGAGAGCCTATGAATAAAAGAAAGAGATGAGACAACACAAGACTACCTAACATGGCTGATTTTACCTTATTCTTTTTTTATACTAATGGAAACTGTAAATGCATCTTATGAACACACCTTGTATATTAAATCCAAATTTATATCTGATGCACTTTTGTTGTATAAAGTCAAACTTGAACTGTTTTTGTAAATAAACACGTGTATGAATTATTAATAAGGATTGTGGCATTAAGTTTGATATGAAGCTGTTGTTTCAGCAGTTTGTACTGATGTGCGATGCCGCTCCGCCTGTGGACGAACTCCGTCCACGCATGTTTGATATGTTTCACTATTTGTGTTAATATTTGAATAAAGACATGTACAAGTTGTGTCTTATGTTGTGCTTCATATACAAACATATTCTCACAGGGAACTTGTCCTCCATCAGTCTGTCTCGTTTACTTTGAGTTTAATTTTTTGCCTAATTAATTCGAGGACACAGAGAAGAGTAGATTTTGTCACTTAAAGATGTGAGCTGAGTGTGTGAGTGGAGAGAAACGGAGGCTGCATAGTAAAGAGCACAGTCTGATTATAATTAGAATTAAATCAAAATCAACTTGAGCTTGAGAGACTCAAGTTAACGAAGTGAATAAAAAACACTTAGACATAAATCTGCCCAGAAAGTTGAAGATGTCCTTTTAAGAGGAACATTTAATCAACACTAAACTCTCCTTGGGATAAATTGTTTCCACACAGTAGTGATACAGATATTTTTCTAACTTAAGAATCAACTGTTGAAGAATGTGCTCATCCTTAGAGAGAAACACAACAGTGATTGAGCTTTTTAAAGCCCTGAACAATTTCACAGGTGTTTTCCATCTCATGTGGCTGATTAGATCTCTGCTCAGGTGGAAGGTATTTGAAGCAAAGCTGGGAATCACGAGGTGATCAAACTGGAAGTTGTTTTATTTGGTCCGGTTTTCTATTTCTGTATTTATCAGCTTTTGCTGGGTATTCATATTTATAAGTTCTTTTCTTCTGCCTATGATGTGAGCTCTGGCTTTTTGATTGTCTTGGAGTTAGAGTGTGTTATTTTCCAACCTGAGACCTGTGCTACGAACCAAATTTGGAGTTAGCGATGTAACTGCAGGGTTTTCAGTACTAAGAAGCTGGCTCTCTTTTTACTGGGGTAAATATAGAAGTATAGAATCACAGCCTGTTAACACTGACATCTGACCAATCATATCACTGAGGAAAAAAGTATCCGTGGACAAAAGTCTCAGGTAAAAAAGAGGAGCATCTATGTTGTTACAGGTCAGTAGAATCATTTCATTGTTTCAGGGCTCCATTTCCACTGGTTTTAATACAGAGCTTCTAACAAACACAGAGATCGTTTACAGACTAAACACATGGTTTTATCAGGATTTTAACTTCTGCAAAGTTTATTTTAGTCAGCAGTGACAGTGTTGATATTTTACACTCTGACTCATCACTGCAGCTCAAGATAACATGAGACACCTGTGTGATGAGAACATTACGGTCAGACAGACTTTTCCACTTTTTCCTTCAGCAGCAGAAACAGTCTGGTGTTACTTTAAAGTGTTTATGTGACATATTCAGAGGAGTTTGATCATCATCCAACTAAACAGCAAAAACTGTACTAATGTCACATATAGCTCAGAGATACCTGCACGTAATTTGAGTCTCGGCCGACAGTAAATTGTTGGATAGTATTTTCAATGTTTCTACATCTTCCGTTATAAGATTACAGAACATCGTTTACATCCCATGGCAGTGGCATTTTACTGTCTCACAGTCGCAGACACTGCAGCTTCCTTCATTCATTGTTCTAATGATGTTGCTAGCAACTAACACTTTGCCTCTTTCACATGAACACGCTCATGACTGGACAGGAAAACCTAGATTTGACTGAACTAGTTGATAACCAGTTTTGTAGTACCTGTTATCCAGACGGCCAATGTTAGGGTTAGTAAAGCCAGATAATGAAAAGATATCCAATGTGAGTTGAACTGGCTTCATAGTACAGACCTCTGGACTCTGTTTTACCATGTTTTTTCTTTCTCAATTATTAATGGGAACAACAACTTTTGAAACTTGTCCAGTAGCTATTGAGAGAGAGCTGCAGCCGACAGCGGCGAAACAGGCTATTGTCGATGTATGTCCACTAAAAGTGCTTGTTTTCTACACTGGAAGGATCACATTGTTATTCTAAATGTCTGACAACAATATGGGAAGGATCCCTACAGAGATAGATCTTTTTGTTTAACCAAAAACAGTCCAGAAATTGCTGTAGTCAAGGCCACCAGACCCCATTTCAATAAAGAGTAATTTTATTCTTTTAAATCACACTTTATTCAAAATTGACAGAAACAAAATAAAACTCACAAGAGCCATCTTGATCCATTTCCCCACTGTTCGAACAATCACCAACTTTGGTTTAGTTGAAATAAACACTTAATTCACACAGCTGGCTCTAAACATGCTGTTTGAATGAGCCGTCAGGACTGACGTGACATTGTGATGTCACAACTTCACTGTATAGACTGTCTGAAACATGGAGCACAAACCCTGAATGGGTTGCTTTGTATTTCCTGTTGGATTGTGAAGTGTATGTGAATGACATCAGCTGACAGAAGGAAAATGTGGACCCCAGTTGCTGCCTAGCAACATAGTAATAAAAGTACTTAAAGTAATAAAAGATGTTCCAAATGGTATTTTAGGCGTTTGTCAAAAATAAGATGAGCAATAATCTTCTGCAGGAAAAACCAATAGGCCGTTAGCTATGATTAGTATTAGCATTATTTACCAGTATTTTTTAGCTGCCATTTAAAGGTGCCATATTGTCAAAAGTCAGATTTCCATTAGAGCTGCACAATGAATCACAATGAATCACAATTTTGGCTTCCCACAATTAAATGAGCGAGATCGACTGCGATACTGACGTTTAAAATGGATGCTCCGCCATTACTAAAATTAATAAAAGATGTTCCAAATGGTATTTTAGCCGCTTGTCAAAATAAAGAGCTGATTCTGTAACAAACAACAATTTTCTGCAGGAAAAACCAATAGATACTTATCACTGAGAGGCTTATGAGTATTTTTAATATTAGCATTATTTACTGATATTTCTTAGCTGCCATTTAAAGGTCCCATATTTTAAAAAATCAGACTTCTATTAGGGCTGCACAATGAATTGACTATTAATCACAATCACGAAAACTTGGGTAAATAAACAACAGAACAACAATGTCGAATGCAAACAGAAGACTTTTAATTTGACAGCATTCATTCTGCAGGAAGTCCACCACAGCTGACATCTTTCAAAGTTCCCCCATCCACACGTGGAGAATCTTTGGCTTCACTTCAGCCGCAGTTTAAAAACTCAACAATGTTTCCAGCTCCATCAGGACGTGAACACGCCCCTGCAGTGTTAAATAAAAACTCTGAGTTAAAAATAAAATTAGCATTCTGAATGGCACATACTCATCTCTTCAAAGCCTTAAAACCTCCAGGCAGAAATCCCCTCTGATCTCCTGTAATGCCCCGATCACACGGTTCATAAAAACCCTGAGCTCTGCTGGACAGTTACAGTGAGAGGGACAGATGCTGCGTTTGCATGTTAACGGAAAAGTCTGACATGCAAGACTTTGTTTGTTTCAGTGTTGCATTCACATGCAACATCAAACCCTGACAAAAATACAAAACCAACGTGGGCGTCGTTTGCCTTGCAACTTTTCCTACGCACGATTAGACAATCAGAACACCAGCAACACCAGCTGCTGAGAAACAACCCCAACAGTTAATTCTGCATCTACAGGAAACAGTTTAAATATACGTTAGAAAGTTTAGAGAGTCACATAGTCATGCTGAGTGGTCCTGATGTGTTGTGTGGATGTTTTCCAGACTTTCCCTGCATGTCGATGGAAATGTATCCTCTCACTGAGTCACTGCAGCAGCTTGTTCCACTGATGAACTCACCCTCTGTGGTCAAGCTGCTGCTGTGAAAACCTCAAAAACTAATCGACATGTTCCCTCTGTGGATGTGACTGACTGAGAGCAGAGGTGCACCGCTGTGTTCTGGAGAGAAACAGAAAGCTATCCGTGCACCTCCAGTGATCAGAGCGTCTGTTTGGTGCACAGCTAATGAACCTGCCAAGAAGCAGCATCTTTCCTCCCCGCAGGTTTCCACAGGTACACGCAGGAAAGATCAAGCAAACAGCTTTGATTCTTTTAAACTGCACTGCTCCGGGTTTTAAGCACGATCGGCCGGGTGTTTTAAAGGGCTTTGTAAAGATTAATCAGCCCTCAGACAAGTTTCTAATCCTTCAAAGTCGACCCTGACAAGTGTGGAGTTAACGAGGCTTCTTCACAGAGCAGCAGTCTGCTCACTTTTTATGTCTCTACAATCACTGAACACTGAGTCTCTGCATCCAAACTGTCCGACACACACACAGGAATAATCCCCAACATGTCTCGTAGATTTTCAAAACATGTTTTACATTTTGTTGTTTGGCAGAAAGAATTTTTGGATCAGCATCGCCTGAACACCATCTCACAGAAACAAAAAATGCACCGACTGAATATTCAAATGAGTCCACGTTACTGTCTGTTCTTGTGCTTCTCATGTGTAAAGGGCTGTATAGCAACACTTTGTGCTGCACTGACGAGACTCCTCTAACCATCTGGATGAAACAATACTTTGTGTGCGGCAACATAAAAAGATTTTGAACATGTTTCTCAGTTTGCATGCAGCTGGAAATGATACTGTTTTTTGTGCACGTCTAGTCAACTTTAGAGAAAGGCCCTGGTGTCTCAAGCACCCTGCCTGGCTTTATGGACACTCGACCTAACTCTAGTTTTGTTTCACATCGTACAAATGTCTCATTTCCAGCTGCCGTATTTGTTTGCGTCAGGAAACAGCTGCGAAATTTGTTAAAAATCTTTTTTTATTATGCTGCAAATAAAATGTGTATTTCTTTCTGAGCTTTACAAAGTTCAGCAATTAGAAATATTTTGAAAAATCAGATGGTTAGCTCTGGAGATACATGAGGCACAAACAGCAGGAACACCACGGCAAAAATGGAGAGAGGATATGACATTAAAAAAGTCCATGTCCAACATGAACTGAAGCAGATTCATGCTGAACCTAAAGAAATCCAAAGGGGACATGTGGACATGGCAGCAGCAGCATGATGTGCCAACAAATTAATAAATAATCAATGTAAAGTCTCAAGTTCTTAATGCTCCAAAAGACCAATTCACAGAAATTATGGAACGTCTAATTTTCACCTCCTGCACCAGCAAATCAACATTTTGCGATCAGAGCTGATATCTGAACATTTAAATATCTCCTGTTTTGTCCCTAAGTCAAAACAACCAAGACAGCGAAGGTGACATCAAGCTTGAGTTGACTTTTTATTTAAAAAACTTAAAAGAAATTTATGTGGGGGTTTCTTCCCTCCTGGAAAACATTCACTGTTTCTGCGCCTGCGTCCTCTGATACAGTTTTCAAAATAAAAGCTCATGTACCAGGCTCTATAAGGTTTGAATCAAGACGGCACCATGTTCAGGGAATATTTGGTTTGTATTGTTAACCACTTCTTAACCAAGAAGTACACTACATGACCAAAAGTATGTGGACACCCTGACTTAACACACTATAACAGCCTCCAAAACCGTGTCTCTCCAAGAAATCCAGAGTGAGCATTCAAATCAATCGGCAGACAAGATGTTGGCATTTCTGCAAAACCACGACGGTGTGGTTCACGTGTAGTTATGTTTAGGCACAGACACCACTTGATTAATGTTAGGAAAAGATCATGTCTGGGCTTGGGAAAAAAGGTTTTGGAGGCACAATCACAGCTGGAGAAGCTGTCAGTATCATGGTAAAACACACACACTTTTCAATTATCCCCGGTGGAAAACTACCTCAATACTACCTCAATTTAGAAATGCTGATATGATACAAATGTGGTCTGCAGAAACGTACAACGCCAACATTTTCTTTTAGCAGCTGAGCTGGACGATGCATTTTTCAATCTTCTAATCGATTTAAGTTTAAGACCTCTACGAAGAATTTCCTCAAACCACGAGGGAACAGCTGTGCACTGTTGTGGTGCAACAGAAAAGGGACAAAACCAAATTGATTTCTTACAGCTGGAAGAACATTATTGTCTAATACAGGTTCCCAACTGCTAAATAAATAAAATCTAAATAAATAAAGTCACAAGATGACTAACAGTATGTCAAAACACTCTAAATTATATGTCTTTCTGACAATTCTGTAATAATCACCTCTATGGTGAAATATTAGATAGTTTTTACAATGTTGGGCCTTTAAAAATGATTAAAATTAAACAGTTTAAGAGGAAAAGTGTCACTTTATAGAAGTCAAAAAGGGACCAGTGGTCTGATTATCATCTTGTGCTGTAGCTTTAGATTTCCCTTCATTAGAGCTGACACACAGAAGCATGTGGACGGGGGTGTCCGTATACTTTTGGCCATACAGTGCAGTTTTAGTGAAACAGGCCAGGAGAAAAACGATTTTCACAAATAACAGGTTACCAGCAAACCATTTATTAAAACATTATGAACTAAAAGCCTGATTGTTAGTAGATATTCTGCCCAGCAGTCAGATCATGTGACTTCATTCTGTCTCGTCACCGGCTCATCGCTGTTGTTCCAGTAAAAACTGAACCCACTGAAAACTAATTCATCATAAAACATAATCATGTGTGAGGCCTCATCTGTGGGGTGAATGCATGTAAAGCAGGTGAGGTCGGTCGTCTCTACACACACTCGTTCATTCATTCGGTCTCTGATCATCTCCCCGTCACACTCGCTCATTCACACAGACTGCAGAATCACAGTAACATGGTTTACATGGCGGCTCCCCGGCATGGAAATAAGGCAAAACAAGAAGCAGCGTGGTGATGTGCCTGCTGTCCTCTCTCTGCTCTCGCAGCACAAACATGCTTCCTCTGATGTCTCACGGTGAACAGACAGACAGACAGACAGACAGACAGACAGACTGCCATCTATGGCTGCTGGTACTTTGCAATTAATACTTAAAATAGAAAAAAAAAAAAAAAACCCACTTTTTTTTTTATAAAAATGCTCAAAAACGTTTAGTACTGAACCATCACCCTCAGCACTGTTTGGATTTATTAGAAAATGATAAGAAATTCTTTAAAAAGAACAAAGTCTGTCCTCTCAGGTCCGTCTCAGTGGAACTCTACAAACTCCTCCAGTGTTTTGGGGATCTGGTTGCGGTAGGTGATCTGGTGCTGCCGGACGGCGCGCGCCGCCAGGCACTTGAGGCTCATCTTCATCTGCGTCTTCAGCAGGATCTCCGACACGCCGGTGGTGCTCTTGTCCAGTGGAGTCTTCTTCTGCTTGTTGGTCATGTCCGTGTGGGCGCCGGCCTCCACCAGGTTGATGATGATGGCGTGCAGTGTGAGAAAGTCGCTGATGGGCCGGTTGTACTGGACGATGACGTGCAGTGGGGTGTTGCCCTCGTTGTCGACGGCGTTGACCTGCGCGCCGCAGTCCAACAGTAGCTTGGTGACCTGGGCGCTGGGGAAGCTGCAGACATCGTTGGTGTGGAAGTCGTCCACCGGCGTGCTGGAGCTGATGGCCAGGTGGAGCAGAGAGGCGCCATCACGGGACCGCGGGTCCAGCTGGATCAGGTCATAGATGTGCTTGTTGATGCGAGCGCGCTCCTCGTCGCTGCAGGTGGTCTTGGTTGAGATGCAGGCCAGGTAAAGAAAAGTAAAAACATTTGACTCGTAATTGTCCATGGCTTGCGGCAGCTCAGATTCGACAGCCGACTCCACTCGAGCCATGCTTCGCTGGATCTCCAACACGCTGCAGCTCAACACCTGCTCGACTGCGGTGGCCAACACCTGCTCCTTCAGGTGGACCATCTGAGAGAACACCTGGGCGAAGCGCAGCAGGTCCTTGTGCGTGTTCCGGTTGCCTTTCTGCCGCAGACGGAGCGCATGAAGCCACAATTTGATGCACTGTTCAAACTCCATGTTATCAGCATAGACGGCACCACGATAGATGATCGGGTGTGAAACATCAATATTGTCCGAGCCCAGGACACGCTCCCGGATCATCAGCCCCTCCATGTGCAGAGCGTCCCGGTCCACCCGGATGGCCTCCAGGTCTCTAAGCGTCCGGGACTCAGTACGCCCCCCGTAAGCCTCAATGGCTGGCAGCAGCTCCTTGGTGATGATGTTCTCTGGGTCGCGGTAGCGCTCCATCATGGCCATGTGCAGGTAGTGGTACGTCCTCTGGATGTCATAGTTCTCCCGGTCGTTGGCGAACGAGGCGCCTAGTAGCTCCAGGGCCTCGATGCGGCTGTGTGGGTCACAGTCAGCATGCGCCAGCAGCAGCTCCACCACATCTGCTTTGCAGCTCTCTGCAGCAACTTTCAGCGGCGTCATGCCGTGTCCGTTCACCACCATGCCTGCCTTACAGCGCACCAGCTCTTTGACAATCTCCAGATGTCCCGCCTCTGCTGCAAAGTGCAAGGCAGTGGCCCCGCAGTGGGCCTTGGCGTTGGGGTCCGCCCCCTGCTCCAGCAGGAACTTCACAACGTCCGTGTGGCCCTTATAGGCGGCGATCATCAGACAGGTGTTGTTGTACTTGTTAGTGATCCTAATGTCGGCGTTGTGTTCCACCAGGTAGCGGACAATGTCCAGTCGCCCGTCGAAACAGGCGGCCCGCAGGGGCGTGGAGTTGGTGATGGTGGTGTGGTTAACGTTGGCATGGTGACTCAACAGAAGGCGCACCACCTCAAAGTGCCCCGCTCCAGCTGCACACCACAGCGCCGTGGCCCCGTCGATGACGTAGCTGCAGGACAGACAGAAGACACTCAGCTGTTACCAGTTTCACCTTAAATATTCAGGGTCTGGTTGTCAGGTGCAGAGGGCCCTGAGCTCAGTCACAAACCTATTCTGTTTTGACCTCGACACATTAACTACTTTAAAAAAATCCATTTAATCTTTAACGCTGGATAAAAAAACAAGTATTATCTTTATTATCACAGAGCTTCCTGCAGGTCGACGCTGCTCAGCTCAGAACTCAAACACTTGGGAAAAAACAAAACTGTATCACAAGCTGACGTCTGATTAGGAAGAACTTGAATATACTATACAAACAGAGTTTTGGATCAGTTCACAACAACTGAAAGTAGAAGATAAACACAAAGACATTTCACATTTCACTGGTGAACCACCCAAATAACTTTTAAATTTGAAAAAAAAAAAGAAAAAAAGAAAAAGCTGTGTCATCACTACACCAGTCACACCAAGATTTACTTGGAAAACTGTGTCAAGACGTCTGCTGTGACATCACTGCGTGGGTGTGGTCATCTGGACAAACAGGCTGAAGCTTTCAGCTCTCAGTGAGCAGAGCAAGAGCAGGTTTCTGTGGTGGGCTGAGATTACCAAGTTTCAGTGCTGACAGCTGAAACTTTAAGGAATATAAATGTTTCCTCAGAAATCAAATGAGTGTGTTTATGATGACTTATCAAGGCAATTAAGCTAATGTAAGTTATAGGGTTGCAACAGTATGACATTGTCACTGTACGATAACCGTTTCAGAACATGTCACGGTTTCATGGTATGGCAGAATTTTTATTATCATCAGTCAGAATGACCCTTAAAAAGGATAAAATGGTAGGGTTACTGTTGGTTGAACAAAGATTTTATTACTGCAGTTCAAACTAAAAACCATTTTGTTAATGGAAGTATGTGTAAAAAGACTTCCCTTAGAAAATAACTAAAATAAAGAGGAGATTCAACATCAACATCTGCTTATCCCTAGATAGTAAATGTACATGGTATGATAGCCGTGAACTTTTCTGCCATGGTATATATCTTGAAAGCGGTACATTGCTTCAACCCTAGCTATCTTACTTCAGTGAAAGACAGAAACTTTGATTGGTGTACGATTGTATTTTTCTGTTTAATAAGGAAAATATGCTATAACTGTGTTCTCAAGCTAGTGACTGCGACACACTTTACGGCCCCACTGATGTTTGTTGTCAGTATGACATCTAACAATAATCGCCATTTTCTTTGGGACTAGTCAAATGATTACAGCAAACAATTCAATGTCCTTTCTACTCATTTTGTTTCTGTGGTTTTCTGACAAACACTTTTTGCATTTCACAGAAGAAACCAGAAGGTCTCAAATGTTAAATGTTGCTGAAAAACAAGAAATTAAGATTTTACTCAGGCACTGTTTGATCAAATTTGGTCAGTACCAAAGAAGTAGAAAGATCTGGTATTCAGCCCTAATCTGTACTTTTGAGGATGCCTATTGATCAGTGTCACTCTTTTGAGAAACAATATCCGTTAGTCTGGATGATCCGAAGAACATACTGTCAGCAGCGTCTGGAAGACAGTGTTTTTTTACTGAAACCTGTTCACAGTGAGCTCTGTGGATGAAGATCATTTTGAGTACTTGAGAACAATTTTGAGGCTCTTGTACTCTGAGTGTTTCCATTTTGCTATTTCATAGTGCTACTTGAAGACAAATACAATATTTTGTACTCCACTACACATTCACATTCACTTGGTACCTTCAGTTACTTTGCATATTCAGACTATACTAATATTACATCCTAACTTAATTACGGACTATATTCTGTATTACCAGGTTAAATTAAGACATAATTGATCCCTTGATAACATTCAGAAACTACATGACAGTATAATGAGTAAAAAAAACTAATCAAGTGAACACATTAATCAGGGCTCAACAATAAGGATTGCCCGATTGCCCGGGGCAAGTAAAACTCACGGTCGGGCATGTAAACTAACAACTCACTTGCCCGATCGGGCAAGTTGCTAAAAATAGTAAAAGTTAATAACTAATTGATAAAATAAATGTATTTTCTCTGCCTGAAGTCACAGGCACAGCTGTGTAACAATGTCCTGCCCACAGCCCCCATTGATATTATTTTGCACGACAGACGCTTCACATAATAACATAACAATATACTATTTATGGTGTTATGCCATCGTGTCATTTCTGTCTCTACATGGTCACACGTTAACAATTCTCCTCTGCTCTCTGTATCGCGCACGGCAGAGTTCTGCCACACACACAGGTGATCACGCTAGAGCGGCTCGGGCCGCATTTTCCTGACCAAACCTGAATGGACAGTGTGTAAATAACCAACAGACTGCTGTTACACACAGACAAACACGCTGCTCATGAGCTTGTGTTGCGTTCAGGTGTTGTCACGTAAATAACAACTTCCAACACTTAAATAGGTCATAGCACAAAACAGCAGCATGTCAAGTGACTTTTTACTTTATTATATTCAATAAAATTGTATGTTCCTAAATCTTGAGACACCTCATATGTAAGCTAGACAGACATTTCACCTGCTCATTACTGTGCACACATGTACTGTATGTACTTAGTCCTAAAGAGCCCTTCTGGTGCCAGTAGATACACAGAAACATCCCAGCAGGCTGTGCTGTGCAAGCATACAAAAAAGTTTCACGCATGTGAAAATTATTTTTCATGCGTGTGCTTCACCTCCGCTGCTACAACTCCATCCTAGGGGAAACACTGCTGTGTGCATTTTGTGCAACAGGTGGTAGTCTACTGGTAGAGTAGAGAGAGAGCTAAGTAGCGTTGAAGTAGAGTAGAGCAGGGCACAGAGATGGAAGCAAAATATATTAAACCCGGTGTTAATACAGCAGAACTGGAGAGAGGGGTGAAAAATAAATAGAGGTGGGCATGGCTCAAGTAGGGCGCAAAATTATAGAAGGAGAACGATTGACAAATTTTTCACTTTAAGCCCTGACACTGTCATATTTGTGTAGGAATTAAGCTACAATACATGACATATGTTGTTTTAATTAATAAATACAGTGTAAATAAAGATTACATAACATAAAAAAACGCAATCTTTGTTATTTGATAGCCGCTTATATTAAACAATTTTTATAGGGCAAGTAAAAACTGACTTTGGGCAAGTAGATCTCTGACCAACTTGCCCAACCGGGCAAGTGGAAAAAAAACCTTAGCGTTGAACCCTGCATTAATGCATCAATCAATAATTATAATTCAGCTATATATATAGTATATTTTGATGCAGCTAGTTTTCTTTAGACAATTTACTCAAGTTTTTAATCTTAAAAAAGTATCCCCACCATCTTGTCCCAACACAACAGACAAATAAATAAAACAAAATAAAAATAGAAACCTAAATGAGTGATGGGTACACAAGGGGACATTTTAAGAAACAGAGTAAACAGGATATGCGGAACATTACAGATAATAGAGAATACTGGGGAGAGAAAAAGTAACATAGAAACTGTAGTCACACAACACACACTATACCTGATAGCTGATGTCACTACCTGTGTACCTGAATACAGGGAGTATTTCTACACTTTGGTAATATTACTTTTACTTAAGTAGACGATTTGAGTATCTCTTCCCCCACTGTAGGTGTGAAAACAACAGGTGAAGTTAACCTTTAACTCTGCCAATGTAGAGAAAAGGTGAACATGGCAGCTCTTACCCGTCAAACCGAACCGTGCCAGTCTGTTCGGTGTCCACTCGGTAATGGTCCACGAGCAACCGGACAACTTTGTCGTGTCCGTTCCGTGCTGCGATGATCAGAGGAGTGGACCTCTGCCCGGCGACCTGGGTCACATAGCTCAGCAGATACCGGGTCTCTGCCTCGGAGTGGTTGTGCAGCAGCGCGGCCAGGGTCAAGACTCGGCCCTCGCTGGCTGCCTTGTACACGTAGCTGGCCAGAGACTCCATCTGAGCCCGACAGGTAGCCAGGACCCCCGCTTTCTTCTTCGCAACAGGCGCCCGCAATGTCCACTCGTCCAAAGCGAGCCGCCTCCCATTAAAATGTCGAAACCAGCCCAAGTGCACACATGAAAAATGTATCTTCTCCGTTATGGCCACAAGGGAAACGTTACGGATCCCGGCTGGTGGAGTTGTACCAGGTAAGTGTCCGATACTGAGCGTCCAGCTCCCGGGTTTCTGTTTCCGAGTATCAGGCGTCAGCTGAGTGAGCTAGCCGGTTAACGCTAGCTAACATGCTAACGTTAGCGAGCTGGTCAACGAACCGCCGCTTTTTTAGCTCCGGTGTTGATTCAGTTTCTCTGGTACCTCCTTATCCGGTATAAAAAAAAACAATCTCCTGGTGATATTTTAATTTAAAAGCCGACAACGCGTCAAATAGTTCAAACACTGACACAAGCACTTTCACCTTCTGCTACCTAGTCACTCGCCGGAAGTTGCGGTTCAACGTAAAAATACCTCCGACTGGAACTTTCTCCAGTTGATATATGGTCCACCCCGCAGACTTCCTCCTGAAAAATAAGAAGAAACGAAACAGCTTATTCCACAATGTCAGTAACAAAGTAATAAATACATATATATTGACAATCTTTAAACAGCATAAAAAGAAAGAATAAAAACATTGTTACATTATAAAACCAGTTAAAGGAACCATTTTAAAAGATGTTTTGAAAAGAGAATGTGAAAGATAATCAGCCTGTTGACAGTCGAGAAAAGGACGACAGGAGAAATTTGAACTTAAGTTAAAAGGACTGAATCCTGTGTTCAGCTTGAATTTATGAAAGATAAATAAATGAATAAATAAATAAATAAAAACCATCAAAGATTATATTGACATTTATTGTACATTGTGTGTGTTGTCTGTTTTGTTTCTGATCTGTTCTCATGTCCACCACATTTTCTGACTTCATAATATTTTCTATCTCGTCTGCAGATCATTATCTCATAACAATACAATTACTCATGACAAAACAATTATTCATGATATTAACTGTCATTCATATTAATGATTTTTGCTATTCATAAATGAAGAACTACAAAGATAAAACAGCACACCACAAAGATGCTGTACAGCGTGTAACTTAATGTAACTTGTAGTATACTTTGGATTTCCTCTCTTGCAGGAAAGTCCTGATCGCCTTCACTTACATTCACATCTGACTTGCTGTAGATTTAAAATCTGTAAGTGAAAATCTCTCAGTTAAATGATTCATTTGGATTTGTGGTGAAGAGTTTCATATGTAGTGAAACCTGTTTGTTCAAAGGAGGTCTTATGAAAGGCTGCCTTATAATGTCCCATATCTGCACTCTGAGGAGGAGCTGCTTGAGATGATTTCCCAAATAACTTAAATGTGAAAAATGCATGGGATGCATAACACTATATGCAACCTTGCTGATGAGTCTAACTTTAGTGTACTTCAAAAAATGAAAAACTTGTTGACAGTTTTAAAACTAGCCTGCACATGAGGAAATAGTTACACAGACACGTACAGTATATAAATAACTCCAGACAGTTTGGATTGTGCCCAGAAAAATGAAAATTTGAATATCTACATCAACTCCAAGACAACTGGACAGACTCCATCTGGGTCATAGGTGAAAATGGCCGAAAGATCCCAAACACCCACTCAGCTGAATTTGTGATATTATATTGTTGACAACAAATTTTGGATTTACAAAAATCAACAAATAGGAACTAAAGCATTGAACTCAGTACAGCCTCACAGAACTTTTACGACTGCATACTCTGTTTTTCTTCCAAGGCAGCCTGTTTGTGGACCTTAGCATTGAAGTATTTTGTTAAAGAGATGTGATCACTGCAGCTGAACTGAGCTGGTCTGAAAATGCTGCTGTTTCAACTACTACTGGAGTTTGAACTTGGGCTTGCCAAGTTCAAACTCTTTGTTTACTCGCAGTATTAAACAGATTAATCCCCTCTAAGTATGGATGGCAGATATCATGAATCTCCATTGTTAATGAGAGCCTTTTGTTTAGTCCAAAATGCCTGTAACTAATCTCTGTGGCTGCACACAGACATTGTATTGACGACCCAGTGGAGTGTCGCCTCTTGTCATTGTAACATCTTTGGTGTGAGGAGCCCATTGTCTTTGTAGAGATTTGTTTTTTTTTTTCTGTTAAGCATTTGCTTTATGATGAAAACTCCCTAAAAATGGCATGCACTTCAGAGCCAAGCAGCAACCTCCAGGGTTGAAACATGAAGCCAACACTGAAGTTCCAAAAACTGCAGTTCCTGTAACGGCCACTTGAGGCTGGCTCCAAAACAGATGTCGTGTCTCAAATCACATACTTCTGTTAGTACACTTCCATGTAGTATACTATGTGCACTATGTACTCATTGGCATAGTGCGCAAATTTCAACAGGGTAGTGTTGTCTCAAACCGAACACTGCTGTTGTGCACTCACCGGAAATGACGACTGCACATTAGCTAGTTGACAAACTAGCATTAGCATTCACGTTATCATTTGCGGTACCAAATCATTACAGACTGCTAAATTGACCAAATAAACATACTGCTGGCTTATACCCCACAACAGTAAAGTGGTGCTTAGTGCAAAGAACATATTTACTTGTACAATGCAGCGATGTTCACGGTTGCTCAGTCCTCGGCCGCTATTTCCAGTTTGAAAAGTGGTCCCTCTTCCGCTAAGATGGCGACCATTGAGGGCGAGAAGTTTCCATAGTTCCACACTCAACTTCTTGACCGTTTTGAGTGCATCATCCGGGTACTCATAGTGCACTGCATTGTTCCATACTTCTCAGTCTGATTGCACTTATGCACTCAAAATATTAGGTGCATGTACAGAAGTATGCGATTTGAGACACAGCAAGAGTCACTCCCCACAGACCCCCATGTTACAATGCTCAACTTTACAGCAGATATAATCATGTTTACAGCCTGGTACAAAAACAGTTTTGGTCTCTAAAGCTAATTTCAATGTACATAACAACTGTACGGGGGTGAATTTTTATATATCTCACCTGTTTACATTTAATTAAGGCTTAAAGTTATGCATTTAGTCACTTTAGAGATATGGAACTTTATAAAACTCCCCCGGAGGATTTAACTGATCCAGCTCACAGTTTGGCAGCAGAATCTCAAGACCTTCATGATGCCTAATTGCAAGGCTTCCTGTTTGTGTGGAAGGGTGTGCCCAACTTTGCATTTCACAATCTTTCCCAAATACACACGCATACCAGTCCAGGCGTGATGACTATACATGCCATATTAACTAAGAGTCATAGCGCCACCTATTGACAACAGGAAGTCAGCTTATGTGACAAATCCAATTTACATGAACTTAGTTAGTAGAAACAGGATGTGGTATAAAATTTGCAATAAGTCAAATCAGCAGCGCTCATTCCAAGCAGGAAATGCCATCTAAGTCCTGCGTGCAGTGTCTAAAATGCAAAAGCCACACTGACAGGTGTCCCGCCAGTATCCCCGAGGTGCAGGGTATGAGAGTGAATCTATTGCTGCTAACAGCTTTGATGCATTTTTGTGACTCTGCACCAGCCTAATGTTCTATTCCATATATTATTTGAGTTGCAAAGGAAGATTACTTACCTACTGGTGAGTTCATATTTTCAAAATTACTTTGACCTTGAGTGTTAAAAGTAACTGTGTGGCCTCTTAAATACTTTTCTTACCATAGCTGATGTATGTTAACTGTCTTCATTCAGCTCCACTTTTCTTTCAGTCACATTTTGAGGTATTCATGATCTGCGCAGTGAACTGTGTTCATCTGAAAACAGATTAATGCTGTCTAATGAAAAATTGGGTGGAGGTTTATACAGATTACAGGCTTATGTGCTGGCAGATCAACCTGCAGTTTAACTCAGAGGCTGCTGTATTTGATCAACAAACGATTTGTTCCGTACGAGGCTTTGTTTCAGTTCAAGGGCAGTTGTGAGGAGCCGTGTGAAGCTTCAGCACCGACAAGAGAAGAGAGAAGTCAAGAGATGAAACAATGAGGAAGAAAAGTCAAGGAAGCAGCGCTGAGGAAGATTTACATGTGAAAGCTACTCACCTTAAATGACGGAAGAGTTTTGGAGCTGACAGCATCAGGATTATCACGACTGCTGACCTAACTATCTCTGACTGAGACTTAACAACAATATCACAGGCCTGATAACATACAGTGTATAACTGAGGAGGCCTGCGTCAGTTTGATGAGCTGTATTTTAATATAAAAGACATAGTTTTAGAATAACAAACAGATGGTGAGCTGGAAAAGAGAGATGCAGCCATCCAACCGGAAGAGACAGAACTCCGCTCTGCATGCAGCAACTCTCTTGTGCAGGTTTGTAAAATTAATTTTTTATAATTAGTTCTGCCTTTGGATGTTTTCACATATCGTCCTTTTGAAACAAACCAAACTCAGTCCTCAGAAAGTGCACCAAAAAGTAAACCAACAGAAAAGGGACTCAGTTCTCTTTGTGGTCAACTTCAGCTCTGATGAGGCCTCAAACCTCCTTCTGTTCACACTATAGCCTATAGATGATATTAATGATGTAGGTTTGGTTTTACTTTGACGTGGCACTGTAGTGCAGTTATGAAGACTCTCACCTTCAGATGAACTTAAATTTGGAGTAAAACCTCTGTGCTGTAAACAGTTGCTGTTTGATGTATTCTGCATTCCACATCTGGAGACGTGCAGTATCTTCCATGGACCGTTCTAGCAAACACCTCTTGGTGCAACTCAGACACATCTTCGGTGATGTTTCCTGGGGTCATTGGGTATTTCGGGTCTTTCAACATCATACACTCTCGCCCAGGCGACCCAGTCGGGGTTGATCAAGCCCTGGCTTGTGTCTAAGTGGCTTTAGTTGTCCATGGATCCCCCGCTTGATCCACAGCCATCTTGACATCTTTTCTGCAGCATCAGTGATGTTCTTGATGGCTCTCCTTGTATGCAGTCCCTTCACTCCCAGCATCTTGAGTACCCTAATGAGAGACTGGCCGACGAATCCTCTGCGTCCAACCTCGATAGGGTTGCATTGGGTCCGCCATCCCCTGCTTCAGTACTCGTCTGCCAGCTCCTCATATTTGGCCCTCTTCTTTTCAAAGGCCTCCTCCATCTGGTCTTCCCAGGGAACAGTCAACTCCAGCAGGACCACTTATCTTGATGTTTCTGACACCAGCACCATATCTGGCCTGAGTGTGGTCTCTGCGATGTTCTCTGGGAATTTAAGCTGTCTCCCCAGGTCGACCGAACTACTCCTCGTCTTGCGTCCTTGCAAGCGTTACAGGCCGACGTGGTTTCATTTGTGTTTTCAGGCGTCCCAGTGCAACAGCATGTGATCTAGAGGGCTAAATACAATGACAAAGAGCAAAGCTGGACCTGGAGCACTTTGTGTTCACCTTGGGAGGTGGTCTGAGGATGGTTCACTTCAGAGGGGTCTGAGTATTCTTGGAGTGTTCAGATATGCACAAAAAATGCAGAGTCTAGTTATCCACACAGCTCTGTGATGTTTTAAAGGTGCACCTCCTGGTTTTGTTAAGGCACCCGAATCACAAAAGGTTCTCTTAGCTCAAACAAAACTGTCCATCTCTTGGTTTTATTCAGATGAGGTGAAACTCCTTAGTTGATGCTTTGCAGTTGAAAAGCTGCAAAGTGGTTTGACTGGATGGATTTCAGTCTCTCCTGATGGGATTAGACTTCAGCATGACAAGTGACTGCTCTCTGGGAAAGAAGATTTTTGAGAGTATCGTTAGAATATTTAGAGAAAAAAGTCAAATATTACAAGAAAATCTTTTATTGCATTTACACTTTGAATGTTTTCTACCCTGTCAGAGAGAAAAAAATGTTTCATTTAGCATTTCATTGTATTTTATTCAAGAAGAAATGACAATAAACTTGAACTCGAAGGACAAAAGTATAATTTTACCAAGAAAAAGTGAAACTTTATTCTTGTAATCTCTTTTTTTAGTGTTCCCAATACTCTGCAGTACAATACTATCCATGCCCAGCTGGGTGTGTATCCTGGAGTCAGTCTAGAGTTTGATTTGGATCCCTCGATCATCATGGTTTGTTTACATATGGATGTGAAATGGCTGAAGAGTTCTGTCCTGTGCTGCTGGTTTCCATCTTTAAATTCCACCCTGCTGCTGTGCTTGTGACCAGCTCCTCTCTGAGAATGGGGCTGTGGGTGTCACTGGGACCAACCTGATTATATAATGAATGCTGAATCCAAATGAAAGCATCAGGACATTAGCCTATCCTCTGCTGGATGTGTGACAGAGGAACAGATGAGATTAGAGCTGGAGAAAATCCACTTTCTCACAGTTTGGGGATTTTGGAAGGAGAGCATACGTCAGGTCACGACTGCCTCTGGATTCAGGACCATTCAGTGATCTTTGCTTTTTTCATCTTTTAAAAATACCTCCTCTGTCAGCTCGTACATTCATGTTATATCTTTTTAGTCATGCTGCTGTAGCAGTGTGGCTCTGTGGATGGCAATAACGGTCCACCACTCTGGTTCAAACTTAAATATCTCAACAACTGCTGAATGGATTGTGATAAAATGTGGTTCATTATTCATGTTCCCCTCACGATGAACTGTAATAACTTTTGTGATCCTCTAACTTTTATCTAGTGCCATCATCAGGTCAACATTTTCACTAAAAATACAAATGTGAACCTCAAGAAAATGTTGGTATTGTATATTTCTGCAAACCATGAATACATTACATTTGTTTCATACATATTATATCAATGTTGATAAAGTGATGTAGTATATAAGCTGACTTTGTCATCAGGAGGTGGAGGGGATGGCAAGATGCCAAAACAACAAACCCAAAACCAGCTGTGTTTTTAGCAAAACGTCACAGCTTTTCCTCCAGGATTGTGCCACCAAAACTGGTAAGTGTAATTGTAATAACAAACAAAACAAAAAAAATGAGTACTTGAGGTTTTAAAGGTCCAGTGTGTAGGATTTAAGGGGACATATTGGCAGAAATGGAATATAATAAGTATGTTTTTTCAGCAGCACGTTGGTGCAGTGGTTAGCATTGTCACCTCACAGCAAGAGGGTTCCTGGTTCGAACTCCAGGGTAGGGGAGCCCCTTTGTGTGGAGTTTGCATGTTCTCCCCGTGTCAGCGTGGGTTTCCTCCAAGTGCTCTGGCTTCCTCCCACAGTCTAAAGACATGCAGGTTAATAGGTGACTCTAAACTGGCTGTAGGTGTGAATGTGAGTGTGAATGGTTGTCTGTCTCTATGTGTCAGCCCTGTGATAGTCTGATGACCTGTCCAGGGTGAACCCTGCCTCTCACCCAATGTCAGCTGGGATAGGCTCCACCCCCCCCGTGACCCCCAACAGGATAAGCAGTTACAGAAAATGAATGAATGAATGAAGTATGTTTTCTTCTGCGTTTTTTAACATCAGCCACCATCGTTAGAAGCCCGTCTGTGACAGCCGAGTCAAAAAATACAGATTTTTTTAAATACAAAACTGCTTTACTCAGTGATTTTAGCGAAGGAAGAGAGCTCTGCGGATAAGTTGGCTCCTGGTAAAAGCCTCCCAAACATCTGGAAAAGGGTGAACACACATTAGCATGTGGTGAGTGAGCAGCCCATCTCTATCATGCTGAAACAGATTTGTTCTGTAATGTGAGGCTGCTTTATTCAGTGTTTTTACTGATTTTAATCACCTGGTCTGTTTGTTTTAAAGAGGAAGAGATCTCTGTGGATAATTAAGCTCCTGGTAAAAACCTCCTAAACAATGAATATTGAAGGAATTCTAACCAGGAGAAGTTTCAGCTGGTTGCAATCTGCAGTTGTCACCACTAGATACCACTAAATCCCCCTAAATCTTACACATTTGAACTTTTTTTGTGTGTGTGTCTTAACCTAGCCACATGTTAACCACAGCATGTTGAAACATTCAGCTTTAATGTATCTGCTACATCATGCAAATGTATCAGAGGTTTGCAGAAACATACAATTCCAACATTTCTTCTGGTGACTGTGTTGTCACCAAAGTGAGTGGGATTCATCCTCTGGGGAACATGAATGTGTCCTTCAGCCAGGAAGTAAAACTCACTGAGCTGCTGATGCTCTGTGGTGATTCACAACATTTTCACATTTTAGTGGCTTCATATTATCATATTTATTTGCAGTTTATTATTTGTTTCACGTTTGTATTTCTCCCACTTGTAGATATGTGGTGTTTCGGTAAATGTTTCTATTTCAGCGTCGCTACATTTTGGTTTATTTTCTGAGCCGCTGATCTCAGACAAATCCCATCATGCATTACAACATTAATTTACTCCACAACGTGTCTAGAATGCAACCAGAGTGGCCAGCTACATAATTACCTGCTGCTTTAGTGAACCAGACGCCAGTTGAATTAAATAAAATAAACCTCTCTGCACATTAATCTGTCTGTGACATGTCGTGTGTTCTGCAGCCGGGCGGCCAGTTCTGTGGAGATGGAGGCAGTTCTGTCAAAGCCTCGGTTCCATTTGGACCTCTGGCTCGGCTTCACCGTCCACAACTGGATCCTGGATGTGGGCCGGCCTGTTGTCATGGTAATAGGATGATTAACTGGTCTCCATTCCTGCAAGACAAATTTCAATTTTTATGATTAACTGTGCTCATTTATGGAAGATAATTTCAGCCAGAAAATAAAATGAACATTTCCATACAGTATATTTTTATTTATTTATACTTAATTTAAATTAAATTAATACTTAAAGTGTTATGAGGAGATTTAAGATTTTGTCAATATCAAAATGTCCCTTTTTTAAATTTTAGATTTAAACTGCTTAATCCCCAGCAATAGTATTAGAAATAAATCTTTAAAAACTTTCTTTCTGGTTTAAAAAACACTCTAAAGATCATCTTGCACAGCCTTGACAGACAGCTCATGGTAAAAGTATTTCTGAGAGAAGCTGCACTTAGTTCGGCCTGTTTTTAAAGTACAACCATTATTTTAAGCTTTTGGGAGAGAAATAAAACTTGAATCTGTATTTTCTTGTTGCCCGAATCTTTTGCAGCTTGTCCTTCCAGCAGACTGGTTTCCTCTGAACCGTCCTGGCGCTGCAGAATACCTCCACATACTGTATAACATCACCACACCGCTCATCCTGCTCAAAGTACCTGAGAGACACAACATGCTGCTACACACACGCAGTAATACACCTATATACAAAAATGTCTGTGTAGTCATTCACATCACGGTCAAACATGTGTTCTTACAGATGCTTGAACGCAGCCCCAGGACGTTGCCCCGGCCTGCTGTCCATCTCGGCATCATTGCCCTCGTCATGGGAACCAGCCTCCACCTGGCGGCCGACTCCATCACCCGACGGCTCTTGGTGATTGGCTACCAGCTGCACCTGTCAGTCAGAGAGAATCCAATCATGAGGAACCTCAAACCGTCGTCTCTGGCACGTTCCTCTGAATCTGAACACATTTACATGTATTTTATTATTCTGTCATACATGTTGTGACGTCTGTGTTTTGTTTTGTTTTGTTTGTTTTAAACAAACAAAACAGCTGGGTGCAGTCTGTTGTACTTGTGACCACACCCAGCAGGGATGTAGAGTGGTATGTAGTCATTGTGACATCACAACTACACAGGGTGTGTCTTCTTCTTCAGTTAGTGATCTCCTACATTTTCCAGAATGCCTTTGATCAACCATCTCAAATTAGGTTTGACTGTTATGCTTTCAGCTACATGTGAAACAACTGGTAAATTAATCAAATAGTCAACCAATGAATACGCTTATTATATTTTAATTACCCTAATGATTTAATTACCAAAGATTGCTCTTGATAAAGTAAAATCTTCAGTCAATGTCAACGTATTAGATTTTTCTGCAGCTTCTCTGGAAACTTAATTAGATTGATGGGTATTCTAACAGTTGTTTTTTCCAAAAAGGGTCCCTAATAAGGGTCAGATGCAGCCCCGCTTTTAACTGTGAGTTGTAACATATCTGTAGATTCAAACTTTCACCTATGTCACATGATTTTCATCAGCAAATTAATTTCATTTTAATTTCAGAGCTGCAAAAATTAGTCATGTATTCTTTTAGTTGATGCAAGAAAATTAGATGATAATTAGAAAATTAATCAGCAACTGCTTTGATAACTAATTTATGTTTTAAGATATTTTTCAAGCAAAATTGTCAAACAGGAGATTGTTCCAGGTTCCCAAAGGTTAGAATTTGCTGCTTCATCAAATATATTTGGGTTTTGAACTGTTGGGTGACAAAACATGACACTTAAGGATGTTACATTGTGCTCAAAGATATTGTGACAGGTAGTTTTCACCATTTTCTATTTTTTTTTTGGTCAGATCCCTAATTGAGAAAATAACGGTCAACTAATCGATAATAAAAATAATCAGTAGTTGCAGCCTGATTTATTTTTTTAATTTTTAATTTCTAATCTTTTAGCAGGAAAAACAGCTGAGAAATTAAAACAATAGCAGTTAACTCGACTTAAAAAGTGTTGCCCCACACAGAGTGATGAAATAGCATGCAGACAAGACAAGCAGAGAACAATAACACTAGTTAGACAATATTATTCTTTATTTATCTGAGTCAAAGTAAACCTATTCTTTTGAAGTAAGTAATCAAAAGTATACAGCATTTAACTGAAAACAGTGAAATCTATATGGAGATGGGATACATAGAATGTCAAGGGCTGAGAAACAGACTGGTTGTTGACAGGATCTTTTAATGGTTACAATTTTCACCCAGAGGAGAGAAATGTCTGTATGAATGTTTGAAGTATTTATAATGCGATGTAATGTAGGACTTTATTCCCCAAGTGCAGAAAAATGATCTTAAACTGTAATTATTATCAAAAGACATGGCATTTGTCTTGATATTACCATATTTAGTAGACTGTAATTCATTTCCTTCAGAGTACATCCTTCAGCTAAGAAGCAAAGTCACATTGCAATTTATTCATAACTGTCTCAAAATTACAACTATAAACATGTTTCTGATACAACCTCCATCTGCCATGAGGGAAATTAACAAGGTGAAATTAAATTTGTGGAGAATATGAGGTGACCTTCATGTGAAGACATGGCAGGAATAAGAACAGAACACAGCACAAGCATGTGTAGAACACAACAGACCCACAACTGCAAAAAGCATTTTTAAGCTACAATAGTTCTTCAAAGACACAATACAGGAGGATAACGGCTCTGTTGAATCTATCACTAATAAGGGCTCAAGTCTATTAAACTAATGAACATTATTTTATTTCGCAGATCGATGCCTTTGAGCTCCTGTTTTACTTTGACGACACCCTTGGTCATCTGATGTGGTAAGAAGTCTCAAAACTGTTTGACTACCAGCATTCATTCAGTATGGAGCCACACCAACACACCATGAAATCAACTGTAACGTTACAATACCTGTAAATATCAGATTCTCATGTCAGAAAAAGATTTAAAGATAAGTTTGTTGATATTTGTGTTTGTCCGTCTGTCAATATTGTCTGACTTCTTGTCTCTGGCTCTCAGCTCCAAGCCCATTGGTTCTTACTGAAGAAGTTAATGTTTTTAAAAACAAAAATATAGTTTCATTTAGTTTTTTTAAAATGTCCTGTAGTTTAATCAAGCAAACAGGAGGAATACTACAAAACTGGAAACCTGTTCTCCTCCTCTGCTCCCATCATCTGTGGTGTACCCCAAGGCTCCATCTTGGGACCCCTCTTATTAGCCCTGTATATGCTCCCGTTAGGCTTCCATAAATACAATATTCTCCTACCACTTCTGTGCAGATGATAACCGAGTGAACTGGGTGATAACAATAACAACGCAGTTAGGTCCCTCCTCAACTGCCTCCAAGATGTGAAATCTTGGATGGCAAAAAACTGTCTTGAAATAAATGATAGTAAGACAGAAATTGTCTTATTTGGCCCCTCCAGCTCTATCCAGGGTATAGCAAACCACCTAGGGCCCCTGACGCCTAACCTTCATACCCAGGCCAGAAATCTTGGAGTCATCTTTCATTCAGTTTTAAAATTTGACAAACAAATTGACACTGTTCTGAAAGTTTGCTTTTTACAACTTAGAAATATCGCCAAACAGACTGAGCCTCTCGTTTATTGACCTAAAGATAGTCATAAATGCTCTAATGTCCTCTCTTACTTACATACTTGCTATTTGTGCATGTTTTTGGGTTTGTTACATTATTTCTCTTACATTTTGCTGTTACCATGTTATGTCATTTTACTTATTTTATTGTACAGCACTTTGGTCAACTCTGATTGACCTTAAAAATGCTTTAGAAATAAATTTGATTTGATTTGAAAGTTCACAAAGTGAGCTACCAATGCTGGACAATCGTGGACAAAAATGCACTTCAGGACATTTGGAAAAGTATTTGTGCTGTGACGGATGATGTTTCACAGGTCTCTCAATAAGGGAGCAGAGCGTCTCAGCTATGATCATTCCTTCTCTCCTCTATCTGTCTCCTCCAGGTTTGTTCCCCTCTTCCTTGTCCTCTTCCTCTTCTTCAGTGGTTGTTTCAGTCACAGGAGACAGGAGGAGAAGATGCCGTCGGCAGGGTGGATGCTACTGGTCCCCAGTGCCGCCTACTACTGGTGAGATTGCTTTACTATTAGATCCCACAGAGAGTCTGTCTGTCCTGTAACTGAGCAGTCACAGGTTCAATCCCAGCCTTGTCTCTTACAATACATACAACTAATATAAAAAAGCAAACATGTTTTGAGGAACCCATAATGCTGAGAAAATTACACTTCCAATTAAAGCTACTCTTCTTGCATTTCACACAGCACTTAGAAAAAATGTGAACATCCACAACTCCCGCCTCCCTTCAAAATCCCATCCCCCTCCTCCTGCAACTCCACCTCCCTCCAAAGGTCTACTCCCCCCTCCTCCATTACATCCTCATTACGTCTAGACGTAGGCGTTGGCAAGGTAAAGTTAGATACACGGAAGAGGAGAGCAAGTGTAACGTTACAACCAAGACAGTCAGACACAACCCCGGTGTATTAAAACTCAACTGAAGTGAGTTTTAGAATAAGGTTACAGTGCTAACATTAGATAGTAGCGTTAACGTTACTAGTAAGTGGAAACGCAAGGAAGATAAGAGAGGCTACACTACAGTAGGCTAACGTTAGCCATTAGCAACTGGATGCTGTGTTGTCATATATAACGTTATAGCCTATGTTACATTAGAGGCCAGCTAAAAATACCTGTCCAGCAGAAACTCTGCGACCATCTCGTCCCTTTTTAGCTCAGGATGAAGCTGCATCAGTCTTCACCATTGCTCGAAAGCAGAGCCAATGTTGACCTGAGTTTTGTCTCTTGCAGCATCGAGTTCTCTCTTAGTGTCAGCTTTTTCTGCAATATTCTTTCTTTTGCCAACTGATTTCCCTGTTGGAGTGGCTGGAGGTGGAAACGGTGGTCTGCATTTGTCTTGCCATTGTTACGGAGAAAAGTTTATATCCACAAGCGTCCCTGTTACTAACCTATTTGTTGTCTCACAGACTGGGATGCGGGGGTGAGAGGGGGAGATGTTACGCGAGCCGTTAGATCAGTCGCAGGCCTCCACGTGGGGAAGACAGACAGGACGCTAGGCCAATCATTGCATTCGGTCCGAATGACCATTATCAAGTGGATTTTGTTTCTAAACCTTACCACACAATGACCACAGCATTGTTGAAACAGAAATTTCAACGTGTTCACTACATAATAACGTACAAATTCAACATATCCGTGGTTTGCAGAAACATACAATGTCACCATTTTTTCTGGCGATAGGCTGGTATCGTACTGTGATTGATATCCGATGGTGCATATTTACTGCTGGTATACATTTCTTGAATATGCACTTCAAAAGCAATATACAATAAAGATTACATAGTACATACTGTGCAAAGTTGGTGTGTAATATGTATACATCCAAATAAAAGCACATGACCTCAAAGATCCCTCCACTGTGTAATCCACTCTATCTGTTTAATCATGATAGAAATGCTTCCCTTCATGCTGATTAGCCTGCATGTTGTTTTCTGATAACTTCACAGCTTGCTGTTGACTCTCTGGGATAATCTCTTTAAGTACTTCTACTTTGATGTCCTTGTGTGTTTTCCTGCTTTTGCTGCTGTTGTCTCAGCGGGGAGCCGATCAACCCCAGAGCTCCTCACATTGTGTTTTTATTGACGGAGAAGCAATTTAATCTCTTACTTCTGTCCCAACTGGACGTCAGTGTCTGGATGAGAGCGTCTCTGCATGTAAATGTACCAAAGTCAAGTGAAGAATGCCAGATTAGTTTTT